GTTCCCTGAAAGTTGTTATTTATCAACGTATATTTTGGATGCATGCACTGGTTTCGGTTCGCGAGTGATTACCAATCATTCTTAAGTTTCGACACCATTTAATCAGTCTTATAGATAACATGTGCGTCGGTTAGGGAAAGAGACTTTTCAGAGCTTTTTAAAAATTCTGATTTAAAAATTTCCCATTTTTCATCTTTTTTGTCTTACCGTGTTTGTGGTGACTAAACCAGCAGAGCAGAGGAAACATGAAAGAGTCTGTTCGCTCACAGCATGAGTAGGTAAAAGTGCGGGCGGCTTATAGTCCCTTTGTCTTTTTAAAGTAGACTGCTACCCCGAGGAGATATTTTTGGAGCCTCCGTGTTTATTCAACTGAGCACAAAATTTGTGATTCGTTTTATCATTTACGATGTTAATGCTGCCTTTTTTACCACTACTTAATACTCACGGTCTGCAACCATGACTGTTTGCGGAGAGAGAATGACATTTCTGGGTATACATGCAAAACTCCCCCACTCGGTCATCCCTACAAGGTAAGAAGGGAACGCACGCGCCCAGATCTCAGAATCGTATTCTTTGGTCAGCCACTAATCGGGCCATGGAACTTGCTGCCAGTCACGACGTGACGGCGGACACCATGCCGGTTTTGGAAGAAAGCTTGATTGTAAAACGTTTGACAAATACGTCTTTCATAATATGAATACTTACAGCTGGCCTTGTAAATTATGCTAAGATTCGGAATGGTTCGAAGTAAACCGCAACAATGGTTTTAATTTGTGTTGTATTCTGATGCGAAAACATTCCTAATGTTTACAAATTTATACTCATTGCAAGTACTCACAGTTTACAGTGCATGAATAAGGTCATTAAGGACCCTGTTTGGAAACCTCCAAATAACGCTCGAAAAATAGGGCAAGGTGTTATAAACCAACAAATTCGAGATTTTCCTATAGAGCAGTCAGTAATAGGTCAAACAACGCAGCGTAAACATTTTGACTGTGTGGAATTGGCGTACAAATTATTCGTCAGGGAATAATGCCTGGGCTGTCTGGAATGTCAGTTTGTTGACGGGAGGCAATGCATACGGAGTGCACATTTACTGTCATCTAAACGCTCAACGGTAGCGGACAAACAAACTATTGACGTGAACGCTAGGAAACCAGAGACCTTTAGACAAGTATTGTTTAAAACTTTGACTGCGAGAGATGATCATACATAGTAAATTTGCCAGAAAACGTAACATAGAAGACAGTTGTGGCGATTGCTTGCATAGTATTATTGCTGTGCAAAATAAGACAAAATTACAGTAGGTGGGCTAACTCATGAAATGTCGGCCGAAATTTCGAAATACATTTTTGTTTTGCAAAGATCAATTAAGTATGGTTATAACAATAATCATCTTCCAGCATAATTCTGTACTGATCCAGTTACCTTAGGGTGTCTTCTTTCGAATGAACTGATTTTCGACTGCATGCACAATCTATACTCTGCACAAAATGACTGTTTAAGTAGTACGCAATTTTCTCATTGATTTTCGATGTCCTCAAAAGTTCAGTTATATTTCCCGAAAAAAAGCATAAAAATGTTCATTCTTTTATTTGTTCGGTAGGAAATTGCTTCTGCTTTCGATTTGATACTCGAGAGAAGAGTATAATTCGGTTTAAAAAAGTTTCTAATTATGAGAATTTTTAATACCGGGAAATAGACGTTCATAAAACGTCAAGTATCTGCATTTACCGATGCGGCTTATGAAGTTAAGAATATTGCTCAAATCCAAAGCTTAATTTTATGAACCCCATATGATCTCCTCGTAATACGGTAGAGAAATGTATAGTTTTCCGTACCCGAAAAATATGCGGCTTATAGTTTTGGAACCCTGAATGCGAGCATAACAGCAGGCAGAGTTCAGAATTATTCAGGAACTAGAAACGTCTTTTAAAACCAAATTATACTCTTCCATCGAGTATTAAATTGGAAGAAGACATAAATGTCTATCGAAAGGGCGAAAGAATGAATAATTTTATGCATGTTTTCCATGAAATATAACTGAATTTTTAAGGGCATCGAAAATCAATGGGAAAATTGCATGCTACCTAAGCAGTCATTTTTTGCAGAGTGTCGTTCTTGGTTGTAGTCGGAAGTAAGTTCATTCGAAAGAAGGCACCCTGCGGTAACTAAATCATTATAGAATTATGCTGCGAGATAATTAGTTTTACAACCCTACTTAATTAATCTTTTGGAATCGAGAACGCATTTCGAAATTTCGATTGACATTTCATGAGTTAGCCCACCTACTGTAAGTTGTTCCTCTTGTTGTGAGAGTTTTCTCTGGTGGCTGTCTTCACAGGGAGGACAAAACAAAGTAAACGAAAATCTGTTTCACCTATAAATCCAATATCTCCCGATAACTGGGAGTTCTGGCTCTGGATTGAGCTAAGCGTCCTCCAAATGGAAAGCCAATCCGGCAGTTCATCTTCCTAGACCTCCTCATGTAAGAGGTGCAGTTAAGTTCTGATTGACAAAAACACATCCTCAAGCATATACCACCATTTTCAGTCGAAGTGTAGAAGTTAAAATCTGAAGTCATTTTTACAGATGGATTTGCTGGTCTGCTTTTAGGTGAGCCTGAAAGACCAGTACTTTTTTAATCCTTGTTCACAGTCGTCTGATCTAAGTCCTGCGAGAATTCCCATATTACAATTGAAGAAGTCAGTTGACGAACATATGTTTTTTGTAATTTATCGTCATAATTCAAAAGTTCATTCTTCATGCACTTGTATTAACCTGGTGATGAGTTACCAAAAACGTATGCTCACCAACTGACTTTTTCAGTCGTCTGATGGTCATCTCTAAGATGACTTTCCTCTGGCACAAAAAGCAATGACAATGCACTGAGCTCAGCACTCGCATTTCCGTTTCTGCGGTATTGTAGGGCGTTTCCGAAAACCACTGAACGCTGAAAAGATTGTTCATTATTTATTCCTCTCAGAACGTGGTTCCTTCACCGACTGATAAAGCAAAACTCTATAACTGGTCGGCGCGATAGAGGAGATGGATTTTCAAAATTTTGCGATAATAAGGCCTAACAGAATAGGAGGGTTTGTAACCTGCTCCGAAACCAACTTTTAGAAGACTTAGCGGGAAATATAAAGACAGACTCTATGTTTTTGGACCTGCACATTTTGGAAAAGATTAGCCTGATAATGCATTTCCTGATAACGCGAAGCAAATACGCTTCGTAGAAAAGCTGAAGTTTCAGATGGAGTTTCCTTAACGTAGCCTAAAAAATTTGGCTAAGTGCACAGNGCTGTAGTCCGCCATAGCTATCAATGTAATATCTTCAGCGTAGTAGGGATCAGTCAGCCGGCAGCCAGGTGCAGACTCAACGCGTCAACTTCGCGTACGGCGTTCCCCAGAGTCCAGTTAGTGGCGTAGTTGAGCAGAATGAACGACAAGAAACAACTTTACACAACGTCAGACCGACTATCCAATGGTTAGGAGAGATTGCTATGGACTCGCTCGATGTTTGAACGGTAGTAGGCTTCGATCATGACCACGATTTTAGCCGACATACCATCCGGTTCCATTATTCGCCACAGGGATACGTGATGGACGGAATCAAACGCAACGGCGATGCCAAAAAACCGGACGGCTGTCTGTTGCTGGTGGCTATGATAATCTTCGAGGATGCGCCTTGGTGTGAATACCTGGTTGGTACATCCACGCCCAGCTCGCAAACTGGCCTGGTTAGGCCTCCATCAAGAGTCATGTTCAGCCCGGAATGGTTTGAGAAGGACAACGGCGAGGAGCTACGCAGCAGCGTCAATGAGGCTTATGCCGCAGTACTTCTCGCATCTTGTCTTATCATTCTTTTTGAAGACGGGCGCGAGAATTCACAATTCTATACTATCGGGAAAGGTGTCACATCTCCACGCTTGTTCAATCACTTCATGGAGTCTGGTCATCAGATTGTCGACATAATACATGCAGATTTCAGCAGGAATACTGTCGTCTCCGGGTGCTTTCTCGTTGTGCAGCCCCTCTATTGCATCAACGAGTTCTTATTCATAAGGGGGGGGGGTCACCTAACAGTTCATAAACCGGAGAGAGATAAAACGTCGTTGTAGATTAGAGTGAGTGCGTGATGGGTTGCTCATCAAAGTTGAGAAGGTGCTGGAAGTGCGCACGCGAGCTACAGGTTTTGGTCGAGTTGTCAGCAATAGAACTGCCATTCACATCACGAACAGAGTCGGTCAGTGTCGAGGACTTAAGACCAACTAGGCGAACAATTCGAGTGTCATTAACATTTCAGGCCGGCTCAATGGAGGTCGCTATTTCAACCCAATACTTCTTCCTGTCATCTCTAGCCGTTTTGCCGTCCTTGTTCAGAGTTAGTGAAACGAATCGTCATTGTGGGACCTGGTTCGAGCGGTATAAGCAGACAACCGTAAGGCTCTTCCACCGATCCAGTCACTTCTGCGTCGTTGGGTATATCCAAGAATCCTCTCAGCCGCCAAATAAACTGATGATTGAAGAAGGAGACACGATCGCCGGGACAAGAGCTTTATTAGCATGACGTTTCGGATTCCTACTCGAATCCATCATCAGAGACAAGAAAGCAGAAACGGGTGGTTGTTACATTTCGCTTCTATTGGTAATGTATTTGGGCGCGATGCGCTCCGATCGGCCCAGCAATGGGAATCCCTCGCCTTCGGGAGGCCTCTACGTATTCGCAGATCCCGTTTCTGCACAGGTGTCTCGACAGTAATGTGTTACCGACATGCGTTTCATACAAGCCTCCCGTGTACACGGATTTGGCGAGACAAGCAGTATTTCAGCATGGCAGAAGGATGATCCGAGTGCTCCTCCAAGATTGACACGCGAGACTTTGCGACTACCGTTAGAGGATTGATCAAGAAAAGACAATATGCTATGAGCTCATGGGCGAGATCGGTACAAATCTGCTCCTACAGAGGGTGACTGAATAAACCCGCGAACAGAGCATGATACGCGACGCAGCACTGGAGAACAAATTTCGAAAGCTGCCCAGTCTAACGTCGCCCAGAAACGACAAACGGGTGCCCAACCTGTCATCAAAGGAGCTGACAAAGGATCAGATGCAGGTTTTACGACACGCAGCTTCGTTTAACACGGCTGACGCCAAACCTATTAACATGATTGCAGCAGTGGAATCAATCCTTTGTCAGACGGAGGCAACGGAGGAGACTAAGAACCTCATCCGACACCAAGTGTCGTCTCTCCTGATGGCCCATAGGCCGCGGGAAGTGCTTTCCAAGGTCGAACGTGATGCGCTTAGAGAATTCAAGGCCGACAAAGACCTGGTCATCGTGCCAGCGGACAAAGGACGCGTCACAGTTGTACTGGACAGGACAGACTACCTTCAAAAAGCCAAAGATTTACTGGAGGACCGACAGTTCTATGTCCCATTTGCAACGAAACCTTTAAAGACGCTGACACGCGAAATTAATGCTACGTTGTTGGCCTTGGAGAACTCAGGTGCAATAACACCGACCGACAGACGCATGGCGAGACCCCAAGATACGGCTTTGGCCCGATTCTATGGTCTACCTAAGGTACACAAAGACGGTGCTCCTCTCCGACCCATCGTGTCGCTCAAAGGGGCCCCAAAATACGGACTGGCGAAGTGGCTGTTCCGGCGTCTCAAGTTCCTGACCGCTGAGTCAGACACCACGGTCTCTGCATCAGCACAATTCGTGGAGAAACTCAAAGGGGTAAGCATAATTTCAAATGAGGTGATGGTAACTTTTGATGTTACATCCAATTTTACTTCTATTCCCCAGGACCTGGCGATCGGGACAATTGAGCTGCTACTACAAAGAAAATACGATAAAACGGTGAACCGTTCTGGACACGCCCAAATCCCTCAGCTCTTGAAGTACTGTCTCAGGACATACTTCCCGTTCGATGAGACAATTTACGAACAGGTGAAGGACACACCGATGGGTTAGCCGATTTCGGGATTCATCGCCGAGGCGGTCCTGCAACGGTTAGAGTCGCTGGTCTTCCAACATCACAGACCGAAATTCTGGGCCCGGTATGTAGATGATACCTTCGTCGTCATCGAACGGGATCAAGTGTTGACATTCCAAGAACATCTGAACGCCGTCTTCCCGGAAATTCAATTCACGATGGAGGAGGAAGAGAACAACCAGCTGGCCGTCCTGGATGTCCTCGTATGCCGCAAAGATTGTGGTGTACTAAAGACCAAAGTGTTCAGGAAAGCGACAAATACGATGCAAGTACTGAACTTCAACAGTAACCACCTAATCAGCCACAAACGCAGTTGTGTACGGACGCTCTCTCGGCGTGTCAAAACGCACTGCAGTGAGCCAGAAGACAAAATTGCCGAACTACAATACCTCAGACGGATCTTCAAAGCCAATGGCTACCCGCGCAACTTCGTCGACCGGTGCATGCGCAAACGGGACGGAAGGCCTAATCGCACGGACACCAAACCTTGGCGGGCACTTCCATATGTCAAGTACGTTTCGGAAGCTGTCGGCCGCCTTCTCGCACCACTTGGGGTTGGAGTGGCACACAGACCGGAGGCAACCATCAGGCGTCTGGTCATGAAACCGAAAGACCCACTGCCACGGCTAGAAACGCCTGGAGTCGTTTATCGGATCTGGCGCAGTTGCGGACAAAGCAACTACGTCGGAGAAACCGGAAGACAGTTCCGAACACGAGGCAGCGGTGCGCAGAAATGACGCCAGCTCTCAAGTTGCGGCTCATTTGACGAGATCCGGCCACACATTCAATTTCGATGAGGCCGAAATTCTCGCAAGAGGTGACAACCGCGTGAGCCGGGAGGTACTGGAATCATGGTTTACTGGCCCCCAGTCCATCAACAAGTGCGATGATCTTCCACCTCCATACTCCGTGCTAAAACTTCGTCTAGGCGGAGTAATTGGCCACGCGGGGAGCGCACAGGTTAACACTTCTCCCAACACCGGGGTCGGTGCGTCAGATGGTCGAGCAATCATCACGCCAACATCCAACGCACATGATGAAATTGCAGCAATTATCGACGCGAATGTCAGCCATCAAGCAATTGACTCACCACGTGCGACGATCCCGGATGAAGGGGGGAGCCGTGAATGTTCATAGGTATGCAGTAGCATGGCTACTGCATCCTATAAATACCACAGCCCCTTGTGCAACAACCACCCGTTTCTGCTTTTTTGTCTCCGATGATGGATTCGAGTAGGAATCCGAAACTTCAGGCTAATAAAGCTCTTGTCCCGGCGATGGTGTCTACTTCTTCAAGACTACTTCCTGGGACTCGTCTCTTCGCTTCTACACTTTTTACTCGCTGCAAGCGTTAGATGAAAGGCTCCCCGCTGTGATCTGCTGGTTGTTGCCGTCGGCTGGAATTATCAAAATGGACCTGGCGACTTTTCTCATAGTCATCTTGTCGGCCGCTTTTGGCTTGGTTCGCAATCCAACAATGTTTGGAGATTGCTGAACTTTGCTGACCAGAACTTTGATTTTGCCATCAAAACGTGCTATCGCCACCGCCACAAACATCTGCTGAAGTAGTACTTGGGATACAGGCTTACGGCCAGTCAGAAGGACTTCATTCTGGTCAGTTCAAGGAGTCGCAGCTCAGCCCACGATATCAGATCGATGCGCGGTGCCGAAACTGGTAACGCTTATGTGGCAAACCAGGCTCGCGTTTGTATGAAAGCTCACCTTTCATCTGCACCCAAACCCCGTGTGTAAGACGCCTTGATGTCACCAAACTACTACATCCCAGAACTTAGAGTTCCTGAGAAGAGAAATCCGGTCCTGTTTTACGACTCGAGCCGACAGAGAAGGCAGTAGCTAGTGGTTATCATAATCATCAGTTTGCCAATAGAAGCGAAGAGACGAGTCCCAGGAAGTAGTCTTGAAGAAGTAGACACCATCGCCGGGACAAGAGCTTTATTAGCCTGAAGTTTCGGATTCCTACTCGAATCCATCATCGGAGACAAAAAAGCAGAAACGGGTGGTTGTTGCACAAGGGGCTGTGGTATTTATAGGATGCAGTAGCCATGCTACTGCATACCTATGAACATTCACGGCTCCCCCCTTCATCCGGGATCGTCGCACGTGGTGAGTCAATTGCTTGATGGCTAACATTCGCGTCGATAATTGCTGCAATTTCATCATGTGCGTTGGATGTTGGCGTGATGATTGCTCGACCATCTGACGCACCGACCCCGGTGTTGGGAGAAGTGTTAACCTGTGCGCTCCCCGCGTGGCCAATTACTCCGCCTA